TACATTAAATTTCATACTTCTTGAAGGGGTAGTAAGTAAATTAGAGAAGAGGTAGTGCCTAGAGAGAAAATGTTACAATTCTCGTATTAGGGAAAATTCAGGAATTTTTATTAATATTGCCATGTAATATTATCAACTTAAAACTTATATACTATGATAAGAAAGTAGTTTGATCAAATTTTGAATGTAACTCACTAAAACCTTGTGACAGTCACAGAAAAAGGTTCCATAGTAAAAAAGTTAAACAGTAATTGTAGCCTTTGATGCTTTAAGTCCTTCAACAGCATTATAAAGAAAAGTCAGAATAAAAATCAAGGAGACTTATGGAGGTATAGTAATTGTCCCCACTAGGTAGACAAAATTTAACATTTTTTGTATGTAATAATTTTAAATTTAAGTACGTTCATGATATAAATTATGTGATAAAAGATCCAAAATACAAAAACTTGTATTATTAATTATAATAATGTTTTCACATATTTCTCATAAATATTCATGACAAACTTCATGATAAGCAGTTATTGTTCAGGTTTTTTTAGGTAGTAACCTCACACAGAGAATGATTAGGTGGTATTGAAAGAGGCAGTTATTAGCTCACTGTTTATGATTTTTTTTATTGCTTTAAACATTTGTATATTCTGTTTTATGTTTTACGATAACATTCCTAGAAACTTCAGTGATAGAAGTCAGTTCTCTTTCCAACTTATATATTTACCTTTAATTAAAGCTAAAATGCTAGTAAAAAAACTACAATCATAAATAAATGCATACTTTTTAAGTAATTCTATATTTTAGCAACAGTAGTAGTTATATATGCACAGAATGCTGAGATAATTTGTATGTTAAAACCCCCTTCGAAGTAGTAACCAAACATTCATAACAGTTTGTTTGCAATCTTTAGAATAAAAACAATGATATAAGCATGTAGTCTACTAACAGATTATTAAACTTTCACCCTTAAACCCTCCATCACTACATCTCTTACAACTACAATTCTATTATCAGATTTTTAATATTATTTCTTTCATTGTAACAATAAAAACAAAATTATATTCTAAGCTTCGGAATGAAAGTGTAAAAAACTGAATTTATACAAAGGCTTTATTCAGTTCATTGAAAATATCATCCAAATCCTAAAAAAATAATGCCATATAAAAGTATAAAATTATGCTTGTTAAATACTGCTGCCTTAAAGTATGTTTAGTACACCATGTTACTGAATTCATAAAATTAAAAACTATTTCAGCACTGTATAGCAAGTCTGTATTTAATTAATTACACATTTTTTATGAGTGACATTTTATTTAATATTACTTGATGACAGCTTCACAAATTGTAAGCACAATTTATAAGGTTTGGTAATATCAGTCCTTACATCCCACAACTTTTGAAGTTGCCTTTCTTATAGCAGGTTAGATAATACGCTATTATATCTATCTCTGTTGCTAACTTGCACTCATGAGAATTAAAATAACTTTAAATGTCACTACTCTAAAACAACATTCCAGTGATACAGTGTTTGGTAAGATTAGATTATAGACTTCTTTCATATTCTACAATGTTAGTATGAATTATTTACCATATCTCATAATTTTGTAATTAGTTAAGATCCATGATAATGTTACATAATTTGCATAAGCTATGATAATTATATTGCAGGTTTATAGGAATAACTCTTATATTTCATTTGTTTTTGTTGTTTATCAAGAAACATCATTCCATATACAATCTAAATCAGGTTACACTGATTGCTATATTTCAATATTATATTCTTATACATCTCTTTAACTAAACTAATCCAATTTATTTTTAGTTATTTCTATATGAATTTCAAGGTTATGAAAGAGACCAATTCATGAATATGCAGACTGCAAACATTTAAAGAATATGTATATGTAATCATAAAATACTATGCAGGCTTTCATACTTAATAATAAATAAAAAGTTTAAGCCAGAAAATATATATACAATAATCAACCCACTTACCATTTCAGTTTCTTGAATAAATTGAGTTTCTCCCAATGATAGATGAAAATCTTTCTGTAAGTATGGGAAGCTCCTTACTGGAGTTGTTGGACAAGCTGCTGAACAAACAGAAACTTAAAGATAATACATAAAAACACTAAATACTATAACAACAAATAACATACGAGTCAAACAAAGCACTAAAGTAAGATACATACTGTTCAATACACGTACTCTTAAAAAGTATAGCAAAACCTCTGCTTGTAAATATACACAGAATTATACAAATAGGTGTACTTAGGAAAAATTCCTTGACAATATTATTTTACTCAAAAAAACTGATGCTCAAGAACTTGAAACACAACTAATAAAACTTGATAGTTGGTATACAAGACTACATAATGCATTTTACTTGAACAATGAAAGCACAAAACAAATATATACTTTTTTAAAGTTTTACTTACTTCAGGTCTTTGTCACTTTACAGTGTTCTTTATTTCAGTTATATGATGCACATTTGTTATTTTTGACTAGAATTACATACTATTAAACAATGTCCTTTTGAACTGCCTACATCTGATCTATTCTTCCTATCAAAGAATGAACCTCCTGTTCAGCAGCTAACTAAACACTTATTTTATAAAACATCTAAACTATAAACATTAACAAGCATGTGCAGAGAAACTACATAATAACAATAAAAGTAAACATACATTAAAATTTTGTGCATTAATTTAATAATCACAAGAGTAATTTAGTAGCCATAACTATACAGAAAACTCAAAACAAAGTAATGACTTGCTGCTAAATACCAGTTAAATTCATTAGCAGTTTTACCTGTTAATCACCACAAGAAAAATGTTGCTGCAACATGTCACTACAATACCAAGCAAATTAAAAAAAATATCACCTTTTTCTTCAGTAATATTTACCTTAACAAACAATACAAATTTATATATTTACAGACATACTGTAGTATGCAAAAGACCATCTGTTATGAGAGTTTTTTTGCCCAGAATTTGTTGACAGTTCATATTTGTACAATTACTGATAACATATAAAATAATAAACTGATAAGTTTATTGTACATACAATTGTTTTTTGCTTACTAGTTGCATACCCACCCTTACATTTATCAATTAATAAAACATTTGTTAATAGAGTCCACTGTAATCAAAGTGATTGATTTGACTATTCCAATGCCTTGATAATTGGGAAGAACTACTTATTACAAATGTGTTGGGTTTAACAAGATTTTACTGTACTTTTATTACGAAAATATTAGTCTTCAATCAATTGTTTTAGTAATTCACTTCTATTTTCACTTATAAAACAATCTTACAGCACCTGAGTTTTATAGATTAATTTACTATGGCATATAAATTATGCAATGAATGCTTGTATGTCATCATCGGTGAATGCACAAGGCAATGAAGGATTACTGAATAGAGAAAATTTGTTAAGAAAAAAGATAACTTGTTTAAATACAATTACATTCATTCAGCTGATTCAGAGCTAAACAATACCTATATCTCCACTAGAACTGGACTCTGTGAAGGATGGAGTGCCTTCTGTATGAGTAGGGGTTGAACCTTCAACACTGTGGGGTGGAGTCCATGTCACAGTTTTAATTGTTGACCCAAGCCCTGAAGTACTGGAACTGCTTGTTTCTGACATGACACTACCAAAAGATTCTGTGTGGATTGTCACTTGTGATATGCTGAATAAAGCAATACATTCAGATCATTTGGGCATATTACAGTATAAAAAAAACATTAACAACACCTTGAATGTATCTTAAAGAAAGTAAAAAATAAAACAACTGGTCTCTTTTAATTTCAGCCTAAGACAACTGTAAAGAACCAAGTTTTAAATTATCCTTTTATAATTTCCATTTTATTTGCCATCTAAGCTGTATTTAAATCATGATCATAACACCGACATATGTTATAAGGGAGAGTACTGATAAGGAAAAATTCTACAATTACAACAGTCTGAAGGAACATGAATTAATAGGACCATCTATAGTAAAGGCAATCTACTATCCACTGTCTGAAGCATTACAAATACACATCTCACATCATCATATTGAGATAATTTTTAGAGAAAATATTTCTTTTTCCAAATAAGCTGCAATTTAATTTTTTCTTTTTTTTTCTCATTATTTAAATATTATATGATTTACCAAGAAATCGCAGTAAATAAAGATATTAATCTTGAGAATCATAGACATCAACTACTAGCATACAGACTTGACATTAAAAAAACATATCTTCATGTCAACATAGTTTTGTGTATAACACATCCCTATAGATGTGTGTATAACACCATTACCAGAATCTTTTTGAAGTTGTCTCCCTCCTAATCGCCTACAAATAAAAATTTGTTTTGGATAAAATAATGAAAAAATCCAAACTGCTAACCCACATTTTGCCTTTTATGAGTTAATGTTTATGAATATGAAAGTAGAAATGGCCAATATAATACCATCAAGATGGAAGGGGTTAATCACAGATTGTAGTTTAAATTTTTTTTTAGGAGCATTCAAAATCATCTGTTCTTACTTACATCCTTATAACAAGACATATTAAAGATTTGAAAGTTTACTTGATTTGTCTGAACTTGATAATGTCAAAAACCAAGACTCATGTTAAAGTTTAGTGTCATGCTTAAACTAACAAGTCAACTCAGGAAATTATAAGATTTCATGTAAATACTGTTCCTTTCCAATTTCTAAATATATTCTTTTGAACTGCTTTTACTATTTTTATGCTAAACATTAACTTATTTAAAACTAAACTGACTTTTTGTTCATTTAATATAATTTAATATTAAAGATTTTCAATTACTAGTTCAATAAATTAAAATAATAAAAAAATTAACAGAAAGTGTTATGTAACACAGATACTTTAAATTAATACCTAACGACATCACTTCTGTCAAGAGAGGAAGAGGCAGTCTTGGAAATGCTTGATCCTACTCGGAGTGCAGCCATTCTTGCATTAGGTACAGGATCTGTATTCGCCCTCAATTTTGACAGTTCTTGGTATGGCACAACTGTTGTCTTGGTTACTGTGGTTTCAGGAAATGACTTGGAACTTGGTTCATGGGTTGAAACAACTGGCATATCACTGAAAGTTACAGTGGAGGAAGCACTTGGTAATTCACTAACACCTAGAAGAAAAACAAAATAAGCAAAGAGTACACAAAATATTAGTTTGAGAGTAAGATCTTGTGTGTGCACTGAATATGCAAAGATTGAAACCGGACAGGGTATCAAAGCATAGAATACTTAATTATCTGCATTATAACTGACAGGAGCAATGGGTGAGATTACACATTCAATAGAAAAGAATTTAAAAACATAAAAATTATTTTGTCTTACATGGAACACACAATTACTGCATATTACTTCTTTGTTGGTTACAAAAATGTTACATTGACATGGACAGCTCTTTTAAGCTTTAACCAAACTAAACTGTACTGTACTCAACTGCTCCTGTACTGAATCAAACACAGTGCCTCCCCCCCCCCCCAACCTCTTTCTATTTTTTGGAAATGGTTCCTTATGTACACTTACTTCTATTATTTCTATATATGACATGAGTAACCAACCAAGAGCTCAATGTCCCTCTAGTGGTTTTTCTCAGCCATTTTGACATATTATTGTGCTAATTTCATTCTTTTCACACAAGATTTCAAACGATGAGGTAAGTCTTTAGTGAACTCAAAATTTCATATTTTTTTAGACCCAGATACAGGTTAGTTACTAAGCTTGATAAATTATAGTGGAATTCTATAGTATCGATATAGTATCTTATGATTTTTTGGTTAGTTAAAATGTGTATATATATATAACCTGAAAAAAATTTCTTTTTACATCGTCCACATGGGAAATTTCATAAGACTTAGCAACCTACAAGAAGCAGCAAATTATTACAAATGTCATATCTAGAAGAGAAAATTGTTTGCTTTACTTTATTTACTGTTCTATGTTTTAAGAAAATAAGTTTAATAGCTTATTTGTAAATAGAAATAATGTATAAACATATATAATGTATAATAGGTGAAATGTGACTGTATTTTACAAAATACTAGTCCACTAAAACAGCCAAGATAGGTCACTTTGTAAAGACAAAAGGTCAGTTATATATTATTGGATACAGTAACATGAGTGCACATGCACTGCATCATTGTAACTTCTATATTGTTAGCCATGCATGGCTGGAAGGTCAATATAATAAATATAAAATGTTATGAGATTTAAGCTATATAGACTAAAAATTTGTGTTTTCGTGTTATAATTTGTAGTTATTCTGGAACGAAAAAAGCATAATTTACATTTTTTTTCCTAATTTTTTATTGAGGTTACGAAACTGGTCATATCGAACCAACCGGTTTATAAATACACTAGTGCGAATTACAAATAAAATAAGTTTTTATACCAAAAATTTGATAATTATCTGGAAATTATAAAGATTTTGCATGTGAAATTTGAAAATGTTCTAATGCATTAAAGTATTTTCAATCTTAAAATCAAGATTGCTTTGCATGTTGGATAATCAACATTCTTAAAAAAAAAGGTTTACGAGAAAACCTTTAATTAGAAAATCTTAATACTTAAATTAAAAACCTGATATTTTGTGTTCAAAAAACCTTGTACTGATCAACAATAACCTGCAAAATTTTGTAAAGATGTGCATACATTATGAAAAATCATAGTATAATTACTCTCATGGATACTTTCATGGTTATGTGCTGAGTGGATTCCACCCAGCCCATAATGGAAGGGTTAAACTGAAAAATGGCCCAGTTACCCAATGCCCACAATTAATAGCTATACTAGCAAAGTGAAAAACAAATGCAACTTATGCTTGAATTTGTTTTTCACTGCAACATGTATCTATAGTCATTAAATCATCCTTGTTTAATTCAATAAACAAATGGATGCAAATTTCAAATAATAGAAGCTTTAAGGCACACACATTATGAAAATCGTACCATTAATTATCACTTTTTGAATCCATCATATCTAGAATTTGAGTGCCAATATTTCACTCAGTTAAATCCATAACTCTGTATCAAACTATTTCACTATATGAAAGCAGAACTACAACCTCAACAAGCAAAATATTAAATACAATAAGTTATAATTAATTGGGGGGGGGGGGAGGAGAAGAGGCACCAATGGAGATTTTTTTTTTACTAATACTGAGAAAACACTTGCCCATTTGTGTCCTGGGAATATTTTCTAACTCTACAGCATTATATTGTATGCATTCAAATCATGCTGTAAACTTTACTTTTACTTTTCTTCTGGCTAAGGGATAGTTTGCTTATGTGTAAGCTACAGTTTTCACGTGCTATCATCAGGTATGCATCATTGTCCATGCCCACATTGCACAAAAAAGTCAATGTTTACTGTAGGTTAATGTTTTTCCACACATGTTTCATCATAATCTGGCTCCAAAAATAAATAATTGAAAAATAGGAGAGGAAAAAAGATGAATCAAAATTGAAAAGCAAGCAAATAACTCCAGCAAATCAAGACAAAAACAACATTCTTTCATAAGCAGAATACTTCAGTAGGCCTAATAACAACATGGATATAGAAGTTACAAATAAATAGTCATGTAGTTGCCAAACAAATAAAGTGTATCTAAAACAGTGATAAAATGAGGGTTAATAACAGACAACGCAAAACGTTTTCAGTGACAGAGGATTGTGTACTGTGTTGTTCAAATAACAAAGTGTTGATTACAATAGCAGGCATTTAGGCTACTGTTTTTGCTTCTTTTACATAGCCTATTAATTACTATAGGGAACAAATTACATAAAAGAACATGTGATGGATGTGTATACCTAGATAATTATGAAATAAAATATTCAAGTAAGTTTGCTGTATTTGAACAAAGCTGAATATGTCTTCTTCATGGGGTAAGTGGTAAAATGGGAGAAAATAATAATTAGGAAGGTGTTTACAAAGCAAATCCTATCAAAGCATATGCTTGCTGGATTAAGATGATAGCCCTTCTAAAAGGACTTGTTCCAGGACCCACAATTCCTCACTACAACTTTGGAGGGAAGACACAACTAAAACTATGAATATTCATACTGGGAAATTATTAAAAAGTCTTTTCAAAAATAAGAGGGCAACACTTTCATCACCACTTGCATTAAATTGAAGTACAGGTGTTTCTGTTGAATACCCTTTGAGACACAGAAAACAGGCAGCACTGGAAATGACACATAAAGTTTAAGTTCTAAGTACATTTAGCATAAAAGAAATCACAAGAGAAACTGAAGAAACAGTAAATTGTATAAAAATTAAGCAAATTAAGTACGTTTTAAAAAAAAATTGAAAATATCACCCAACTTTTGCCCAGCAAATTTTTTCATTTATTTTTTTCAACCATTTTTGAACATGCTGAACAATAAGAAAGTAAATGAAGAGCTTCATGACAAAAACAAAACTCATTCATGTTGGAGGTGAACCTGTTTTTAAAAAAACTGTAGGGACATTGACAGTTTAACTTTATTTTTTAGAGCAAAGCCATATTGTTTCAGCTATGGGGAATTGAACCACAGATTTTAGCATTGTAAGTCCATAAACTTACCACTGTCCAACTGGGGGATTGGAATTTTTGTTTTCAACTACATTGCATGAAAATCAGTAACAACTAACTAAACAGAAATTAGCTTAGGCTTTAAAAAACTTATACAATTGTTTTTCTTGTTCATCAGAAAGTTTCATTATATAAATACAATCAGTTTCAACTTGATTGACATTTTTATATTTTATTTTGATAATTGTAGTAGTGTTTAGTAATTATTTGCAAATGATACTAAGTAAATGTTAGAAGAAAAAAAAATCTAAATTATAATATATATCTGAGTTAAAGATTATTGAAACAGAGTTGGAATTATTATTTTACTTAAATATTAAAATATAATATGCAGGTGCACACTCAACACCTAAAAGGTACTCTCCAGTCTGGAAAGGTTTTAAACATCAAACATTTTCAATTTCAAATGTGTGATCAATATTTATGTGGGGTTTAAAGCTCCATCACTTTAAATATGTACACATCTAAACTGCTACCTCTATTAAATTGACCCACCTTGTATTTGTGAAGTTATATATACTAATGTTTACTACAGTTCTGCACTTGCTAAATGTATCTTCACAAACTTTTGCAAGCTTTTAATAAACATTATATGTCTATTATACAAAACAAATCACATTTTTTAATGAATTATTTTTATTAAATATTTGTCTATGAATTTCCAAAGCCTTTACTGAGTCAATACGAGTGAAATGTGATTTCTGTGATATAAATAAAAATACTTATTTTCACCTCACAGTTTTCACATTTTGTTTTCCTAACCTAAATGAATATTAAAATTTTTTTTGGTAAAACTATATATATATTAACTTTCATTGCCTCAACCCTAATACTAACTGAAGAAAATAACTGATTTACAACAAAATGAAAAGTTTAAATATAAGAAACAGAATTAACAGTACCATTTTTTCTACTGCATAGACTGCAGTAATGATCAGAAAATTTCAAATTAATTATCTTAACAGTTTCAACTGCTAACCTTTTCACACATCTTTCCTTTCATTTTTATGGTTTTATTGCTGAACTTTTTATACTTACTGAAACAGTAATCCTCACATGGAAAGCAATAAATCACAGCAAAAGCTCATTAGCTGTTTCTCTTAGAGCAAATGTAAACAGTGAGTGATTGTGAGGTGTCATGTTACATGTGTGTGCTCTAACTTGTGAAATTTCAGACATTTTATTTTACTGAAGTTTTGTTAGGCTAAGCTGATAATTTTATAATTTTTACATTTACTTTTGTTAAAAACAATGATTTGTAGTACTAAATACATAAGACTAGCTAGTTTGTACTCAGGTAAAAATTGAAGATTCTTCCTGAACCTTGAGTCTTATAAATTTGGATGTCAAAAAAGAATTCATGTAGCTTTCAAACATGTATGTTAGAAAACAAAAATATATCAGTCACAATAATAATGTCCCAAAACTGTTATAATTTATCTGGCTTTCTACATAAGCTATAAACAGGTCAAAATTTCTTAAGCAATCAGAGCAGTAAAATATAATCACCATTAATCACACAATTTTGCTGAATAATGGTTTATAGTGGGAAATCTAAGCTCGTAAGATTTACATAAAGGAGAATCTGCTCTTTCTATTGGTTAGAAACAGGTCCATTTTCTGTGTAAAACCAAACAATCTTAAAAGTGGGTTGATAAATTTATTGATATTTCAACAAATCAAGAAAGTAGAAGGTTCAAATTTTAGATCCTTCATTGTAATTATGTATAGTTTGTGTTTCTAATTGGTTGGAAACGGTACAAGCTTATCATTGAAGTTATAAAATTCTGAAGTGAAGATGAATCATGTGACAAACAAAAAATGAAGACTGAGAGTGTTTTGGATTTTTTTTAACTCTTTCAACCTCGTAACCATTTTGTGCTTGTTAAAGTTTATGTTATAACTTTTAAATTAATAAGTGAATTTTAACGAAGTTTAGCAGATTATCAGTAAACATTACAATGCTTTCATACGCAAAATATCTAATTTTTTATTAAGTCTTAAGGTTTGTAAAGCAATGTTTTTCTTGTGCCTTTTTTTCTTTTCGCATCTTGCCTATCTATCATGTAAAGTAATTTTCATCTTAAGATTAAAAATACTTTTATGCATCAGAAAATATTGAAATTTCACATGCGAAATCTTTATAATGTCCTGATAGTTATCAAACATTTCTTAAGAAAAAATGTTTATATTTTATCTGTTATTTCTAATAATTAATCTCTGTACAGGTTCGGTAGATTTGACCTCGCAACCACCATAAAAAATTAGGAAATAAATTATGCCTCTTTCAGTCTAGAATGAACACAAAAACATAAATGTTTTGATGAAATAGCTTAAATCTCATAACATTATACATTTATATATATTTATTATTTTTATTATATTGACCTTTCACCCATGCCTGGCTAACAATACAGAAGTTACAATGAAATGGTTTTCGTGTACTCATGTTACCGTATCAAATAACAAAGGTGACCTTTGGTCTGTACAAAGTAACTTGTCTTGGCTGTGTTTTAGTCAACTAGTATTTTGTAAAATACAGTAATATTTCAATTATTATACATTATATATGTATATAGGTTTTTGCTGTTTTTAAATAAGTTCTTAAAATTATTTTTCCTAGAACATAGAACAGAAAATAAAGAAGTAAAGCAAACAATTATCTCTTCTAGTTACGACCTTTTTACTTGGTTGCAGCTTGACATAGGTTGCTAAGCCTTTAAAAATTTTGCACGTGGAGGATATGAAACAAAATTTTTTTTTTTTAGGTTTTATATATATACATTTGAATAACTAAAAAATCATAAATTAATTCATCAATACCATAGAATTCTACTACCATTTATCAAGCTTAGTAACTAAGTTTTATTTGGGTCAAAAAAAATATGAAATTTCGAGCAGAATAAAGAAACAACCTACCTCATTGAAATCTTGGTTTAAAAGAAAGAAATGGCAAAAGGAACATTAGAATGGCTGAGAAATCCACTAGGGGGACATTCTGAGCTTCTGATTGGTTATTCATGTCATATATAGAAGTGTATATAATGGAGCATTTCCAAAAATGGAAAGAGGTGAGTGATGTGCCACTGTATTTGATTTATTACGTGAGCAATTATGGACTTAGTATTTTGACTTCACAAACATCTAATTTGAACCAGTGTTGCATTCAACATACTACGTGACACATAAAAATCAATGTTTATCTGTGTTTTTTAATATTTACTTTTAAGTTAACAAATTGAGTAATGTATAGTTCTAAAATTTGAATTATAATCTACAGTTT